GCGACAAGCGTCAGTTGCGGTGAGAGGCCGTCCGAAAGATGAAGGAGATTTGGGCTGAGTACTGGGGAGAAGACAGCGAAGTCGGCGCCATAAGCGACCTGGACTCCGCGAGCGAGCGAGAGGAGGAGCCCACACCTCCGCCGCCCCGAACGAAGAAGAAGAAGAAGGCTAAGGCCAAAGCAAAGGCCAAGGCCGGGACGGATCCTGCCTGACCGGGACGGATCCCACCGACCAAAGCGGGACGGATCCTGCCCTGTGCCATCAAGTCGCCGCCACACCTTAATTAGGGGCCCCTTGGGCTGACCGGGACGGATCCTGCCAGACCAAGGCGGGACAGATCCTGCCCTGAATCGCCAGGTCGCCGCCATGCCTTAGGCCATCGCCGGGTCCCAGCGTGATCGAAAAGGTGCATTGCCTACCGCGCCCGATTTCGAACGACCTGGCGTTAATTACCATGCCGCGCCCCAATTTCCAGAAATTCCTTCGACGGGCCCGCTGCCCATTTTGCGCGTCGAACACGGGACGCCTCCGGCCGCTCCCCGCGCTTGTGTTTTGAGGCCCGATCGGGGCTTCCCTATCGATCTGGTTCCCAGGCGAGCTTCGATCGACCCTCTCCGACTAGGCGGTCTGGCGCTCCATCCTCCACGGCCCGGGCTGGCCCGTCGATTTCCGGGGTACGTCCCCTAACCATGATTTGGTCGAAAAGGCCGTCTCAACTTGAAACATGATTTGGTCGAAAAGACCTTCGCTCTTGAAGCCATGATCTGGTCGAAAAGACCTTCTCAACTTGAAACCATGATTTGGTCGAAAAAACCTTCTAAACTTGAAACCATGATTTGGTCGAAAAGACCTTCTAAACTTGAAACTATGATTTGGTCGAAACGACCTTCTAAACTTGAAATCATGATTTGGTCGAAAGAACTTCTAAACTTGAAACCTTGAAACCATGATTTGGTCGAGAAGACCTTCTCAACTTGAAACCATGATTTGGTCGAAAAGACTTTCTAAACTTGAAACCATGATTCGGTCGAAAAGGCCTTCTAAACTTCAAAAGAATGATTTGGTCGAAAAGACCTTCAAAACTTGAAACCAGGATTTGGTCAAAAAGGCCTTCTAAGCTTGAAACCATGATTTGGTCGAAAAAGCCTTCTAAACTTGAAACCATGATTTGGTCGACAAGGCCTTCTATACTTGAAACCATGATTTGGTCAAAAAGACCGTCTAAACTTGAAACCATGATTTGGTCGAACGACCTTCTAAACTTGAAACCATGATTTGGTCGAAAAGGCCTTCTAAACTTGAATCGTCGACAAGGCCTTCTAAACTTGAAACCATGATTTGGTCGAAAAGGCCTTAAAACTTGAAACCCTGAGTTGGCCGAAAAAGCCTTCTAAACTTGAAACCATGATTTGGTCGCAAAGGCCTTCTAAACTTGAAACGTCGACCAAGATTTTGTCGAAAAGACCTTCTAAACTTGAAACCATGGTTTGGTCGAAAAGACCTTCTCAACTTGAAACCATGATTTGGTCGAAAAGGCCTTCTAGACTTGAATCGTCGACAAGGCCTTCTAAACTTGAAACCATGATTTGGTCGAAAAGGCCTTAAAACCCTGAGTTGGCCGAAAAAGCCTTCTAAACTTGAAACCATGATTTGGTCGAAAAGGCCTTCTAAACTTGAAACGTCGACCAAGATTTTGTCGAAAAGACCTTCTAAACTCGAAACCACGATTGGGCCGAAAAGAACTTCTCAACTTGATGTGCTCGAAAACCATGATTTGGTCGACAAGACCTTCCCAACTTGAAATCATGATTTGGCCGAAAAAGCGTTCTAACTTGAAACCATGATTTGGTCGAACCGGCCTTCCAAACTTGAAGCCATGATTTGGTCGAAAAGGTCTTCTAGACTTGAAACCATGATTCGGTCGAAAATTCCTTTCAAACTTGAAACCATGATTTGGCCGAAAAGACCTTCCAAACTTGAAAACATGACTTGGTCAAAAAGACCTTCTAAACTTGAAACCATGATTTGGTCGAAAAGGCCGTCTAAATCAGAAACCAAGATTTGGTCGAAAAGGCCTTCTCAACTTGAAATCATGAGTTGGTCAAAAACGCCTTCTAAACTTGAAACCATGATTTGGTCGAAAAGGCCTTCCAAACTTGAAGCCATGATTTGGTCGAAAAGGCCTTCCAAACTTGAAACCATGATTTGGTCGGAAAGACCGTCTCAACTTGAAACCATGATTTGGTCGAAAAGACCTTCTAAACTTGAAACCATGATTTGGTCGAAAAGACCTTCTAAACTTGAAACCATGACTTGGTCGAAAAGACCTTCTAAACTTGAAACCATGATTTGGTCGAAAAGGCCTTAAGACTTAAAACCATGATTTGGTCGAAAAGGCCTTCTAGACTTGAAACCATGATTTGGTCGAAAAGGCTTCTAAACTTGAAACCATGATTTGGTCGAATAGGCCTTCTAAACTTGAAACCATGATTTGGTCGAAAAGGCCTTCTAAACTTGAAACCATGATTTGGTCGAAAAGCCCTTCTAAACTTGAAGCCATGATTTGGTCGAAAAGACCTTCCAAACTTGAAACCATGATTTGGTCGAAAAGGCCTTCTCAACTTGAAACCATGATTTGGTCGAAAAGGCCTTCTAAACTTGAAACCATGATTTGGTCGAAAGAACTTCTAAACTTGAAACCATGATTTGGTCGAAAAGGCCTTCCAAACTTGAAACCAGCTTGAAACCATGATTTGGTTGAAAAACCTTCTCAACTTGAAGCCACGATATGGTCGAAAAGACCTTCTAAACTTGAAACCATGATTTGGTCGAAAAGAACTTCTAAGGCCTTCTCAGCTTGAAGCCATGATTTGGTCGAAAACCATGATTTGGCCGACAAGACCTTCTAAAACTTGAAACCATGATTTGGTCGAAAAGGCCTTCTAAACTTGAAACCATGATTTGGTCGAAAAAGCCTTCTAAACTTGAAACCATGATTTGGTCGACAAGGCCATCTAAACTTGAAACCATGATTTGGTCGAATAGGCCTTCTAAACTTGAAACCATGATTTGGTCGAAAAGACCTTCTAAACTTGAAGCCATGATTTGGCCGAACAGACCTTCTAAACTTGAAACCATGATGTGGTCGAAAAGACCTTAAAACTTGAAACCATGGTTTGGTCGGCAAGGCCTTCTATACTTGAAACCATGATTTGGCCGAAAATCCCTTCTAAACTTGAAACCATGATTTGGTCGAAAAGACCTTCTAAACTTGAAACCATGACTTGGTCGAAAAGACTTTCTAAACTTGAAACCATGATTTGGTCGAAAAGGCCTTCTAAATTAGAAACCAAGATTTGCTCGAAAAGGCCTTCTCAACTTGAAATCATGATTTGGTCGAAAAAGCCTTCTACACTTGAAACCATGATTTGGTCGAAAAGGCCTCGAAAAGGCCTTCCAAACTTGAAACCATGATTTGGTCGAAAAGGCCGTCTCAACTTCAAACCATGATTTGGTCGAAAAGACCTTCTAAACTTGAAACCATGATTCCGTCGAAAAGGCCTTCTAAACTTGAAAGCATGATTTGGTCGAAAGGACCTTCTAAACTTCAAACCATGACGTGGTCGAAAAGGCCTTCCAAACTTGAAACCATGATTTGGTCGAAAAAGCCTTCTAAACTTGAACCCATGATTTGGTCGAAAAGGCCGTCTCAACTTGAAACCATGATTTGGTCGAAAAGACCTTCTAAACTTGAAACCATGATTTGGTCGAAAAAGCCTTCTAAACTTGAAACCATGATTTGGTCGAAACGACCTTCTAAACTTGAAACCATGATTTGGTCGAAAAGGCCTTCTAAACTTGAAACGTCGACAATGATTTGGTTGAAAAGACCTTCGAAACATGAAACAGTGATTTGGTCGAAAAGATCTCAAAACTTGAAACCATGATTTGATCGAAAAGACCTTCCCAACTTGAAACCATGATTTGGCCGAAAAGACCTTCTAAACTTGAAACCATGATTTGGTCGAAAAGGCCTTAAAACTTAAAACCATGATTTGGTCGAAAAGGCCTTCTACTTGAAACCATGATTTGGTCGAAAAGGCTTTAAAAACTTGAAACATGATTTGGTCGTGGTTTGGTCGAAAAGACCTTCTCAACTTGAAACCATGATTTGGCCGAAAAGACCTTCTAAACTTGAAACCATGATTTGGTCGAAAAGGCCTTCTAAATTTGAAACCATGATTTGGGCGAAAAGAGCTTACAATCTTGAAACCATGATTTGGTCGAAAAGGCCTTCTAACTTGAAACCATGATTTGGTCGAAAAGACCTTAAAACCATGATTTGGTCGAAAAGGCCTTCTAAAGCAAGCCCGCAAAGATAAAACCCAGTGGCTAAAGGAGCGACTGGCCGAAAGCGAGGCCACTCTTGACCCTCGCCAAAAATGGAAGTGGATCAAGAGAGTTCGCACAGACTACAAGCCCAGACCGGTCTCCATTAGAGACTCACAGGGCAAGCCCACCAGCCTCTCACAGCAAGCCCAAACCTTCGCAGAATACCTGCGAGACTCACACTGGGCAGCTCCACCTACACCTTACACTGGCCCCACAGACCCAATACACCCGGCAGCAGCAGTGGACCTCTCACCCATCACCACAGCAGAGCTCAACGCAGCACTTAAAGAGCTGGCGCACAACAAAGCAGCAGGCCCCGACAGCATTCCTGCTGAAGCATGGCAGTGGTTAGACGACCATAACCAAGAGGCTCTCTTGCGGGTCCTCAACCAAGCCCTGCTCACAGCCACCATCCCGGATGACTGGCACCATGCTACCGCCCCATCTCACTTTTGAACACATCCTACAAACTTTTCGCCAAGATCATTCACACCAGACTCCAAGCAGCCCTGGACGACAGGCTCAGGGAAACCCAATACGGGTTTAGGGCGACGCGCTCAACATCCCAGCCTATTCACATCGTCCGCCGTCTCATTGAACGTGCGGAGGCCACAGGACAAACACTTTACGCCATCTTTCTCGACAAGATACACCCGGACGCCCTCCTCACAGCGTTGTCACGCTACGGCGTCCCACCACATCTCACAGCCCTCATCAACAACATCTACACCTCACCACAATTCACAGTGGCGGCGGCTGGGAAGCAAAGCACCAGGGAGGAAGCCAGCGCGGGCATTCGTCAAGGATGCCCGCTCTCACCATACCTGTTTCTCATAGTTCACGGTATGGTTATGCACGATGTGGACCGGGAACTCACAGCTCACGGCGGGTCTCTTCCATGGCTGTACAGCCAAAACCAGCCCTTCTACGACCTTGCTTATGCGGACGACACAGCGCTCATCGCAAGCACAGCTCACAGAGCAGAACAGCTGCTCCACATCCTGCAGCGGATTGCGGCTCACAGCAACTTCCACCTGAACCTCAAGAAGTGCGTGTTACTACGCTCCCCCACTTCACAGAACACAGTCCACTTTCACAACGGCGCCCCCTCACTATTGAGCAGCACGCCAAATACCTTGGCGTCACAATTAGCAGCGACGGGTCTTCTCACAAAGACGTTCTCACACGTGTCGCCAAGGCCCGCAAGCACTTCAACTCTCTGCACCAGTTCTGGCGCAACACCGACCTCACACTGAAGTGGAAGTTACGCATTTACAATGCGGTCTTCATTCCGCTCGTAACATACGGGTTGGAATCAGCAGCGCTCACAAAAGGCGATCTCAACAGACTCGAAGCTTTCCACTCACAGAGTCTTCGAAAGATCCTCCATTTCAAAAGCACTTACTACACGGAGGTGCTCAACCCCACAGCCCGCACATACACCAACCAAGAGGTGAGAACACTCACCTCACAGCCTCCACTCACTCACCACACCCACAAAGCACAGCTGAAACTTTTCGGGCACATTCTTCGATCCCATCCGAACAGTATAGAACGGAACTGCTGCTTCACTAGCGCTTTTCAGTACAGAGGTGGTATGGTTGGTGCTGGCCTTAGGCCAGGCAGGAGGAGAGGTCAATGGACAGAACAGTGCACTACAATTCTTTGGCACTGGCTTTTAAAGTCCCCCAGACCCCCTGCCACTCGCAGCCCTACCTTCCCATACTCTTATCTACAAGCTCACAGAGCTGCTGTAGACCGCCACTTTTGGAGTACCCTAGTGAGGTTGCCAACGTGCAAGACACTCCTAGAAGCACACTCCTACACAGTCTTCTCACAGCCTTGAGTTTTCTGCGGAGTTGCTGCTGAGCGAGTTGCATAGGGCCGCCCAAAAAAAACTTGAAACCATGATTTGGTCGAAAAGGCCTTCTAGACTTGAAACCATGAACTTGAAACATGATTTGGTCGAAACGACCTTCTAAACTTGAAACGTCGACCAAGATTTGGTCGAAAAGGCCTTCTAAACTTGAAACCATGGTTTGGTCAAAAAGAACTTCTCAGCTTGAAAGGCCTTCTAAACTTGAAACCATGATTTATGATTTGGTCGAAAAGACCTTCTAAACTTGAAACCATGATTTGGTCGAAAAGGCGTTCTAAACTTGAAAACCATGATTTCAGGCCTTCTAAACTTGAAGCCATAATTTGGTCGAAAAGACCTTCTAAATTTGAAACCATGAAACGGTCGAAAAGGCCTTCTAAACTTGAAACCATGACTTGGTCGAAAAGACTTTCTAAACTTGAAACGTCGACAATGATTTGGTCGAAAAGACCTTAAAACTGGAAACCATGATTTGGTCGACAAGGCCTTCTGAACTTGAAACCATGATTTGGTCGAAAAGACCTTCTCAACTTGAAACCATGATTTGGTCGAAAAGACCTTCTAAACTTGAAACCATGATTTGGTCGAACAGACCTTCTCAACTTAAAACCATGATTTGGTCGATAAGGCCTTCTAAACTTGAAACCATGATGTGGTCGAAAAGACCTTCTAAACTTGAAACCATGATTTGGTCGAAAAGACCTTAAAACCATGATTTGGTCGAAAAGGCCTTCTAAACTTGAAACCATGAGTTGGTCGAAAAGCCTTCTAAACTTGAAACCATGATTTGGTCGAAAAGGCGTTCTAAACTTGAAACCATGATTTGGTCGACAAGGCCTTCTAAACTTGAAACCATGATTTGGTCGAAAAGACCTTCTAAACTTGAAACCATGAAAGGGTCGAAAAGGCCTTAAAAACTTGAACCATGATTTGGTCGAAGAGGCCTTTCAAACTTGAAACCATGATTTGGTCGAAAGGGCCTTCTAAACTTGAAACCATGATTTGGTCGAAAAGGCCTTGTAAACTTGAAACCATGATTTGGTCGAAAAGGCCTTGCGAATTGGGCTTGCCCACACGAGTGTCCGAGAGCCTTTGAGTTGGGGAGGGGGGGGGTGTGGACCTTTGAGTGGGGGGCACGTTGTCCCCAAACGCCTGACATTGCACCGGGGATGCAGCTCTTGTGCAACATGCTTGGACTTGATGGAATTTTCTTGTGGGTATTTCATGTTCCTTTGTGCAGGGAAATTTGGTGATGCTTGAATTTGGTGCCGAACAATTTTCTTGACAGTGGCGAGGTGCGCTCGAGGCACTGCATGTGTCGTTGGCCCGCCCACTGCACCCTGAGGTCTTTGCTATGCGCTTGCGAGCTGACTTGGATTCGTATTCGAAAGGATTGAATAATTAGGGTGAGGTCTCTAATATTCGATCCTTGGGATAATCGATTCAATTTGCTTGAACCTAAAGGAGTTTAAGTAAATTGCGATGTTTATCCCTTTGCGGGAGGGCCACAAACACGCCCTAGAGACCTTATATAGTGGGACACTAAGCAAATTTGTGCTCAAGTGTGAGCTCCAGAGAGACTTCAAGGATTGCCGATAAGGAAATAAAGCGCTTGCGCATTCCCTCGCTCGGGCAATTGGAATGAAGGTTGGCCCACCCGCCACACCCTGCGGTCACTGCTCTCCGCTTGTGCTGCTAATCAGAGCAGTGCCGTGGCACCGTGCGTAGTCCTGACACATTGCTTCGTGTTGTATGCCCAGTGCAAGGCCCTCCGCTTGGGGCAGTCAAGCAAAGCACGCCGCTCATCTGGCCAGCGTGCCTGCGTTACCATGTCGTGCGAGTAGAGTTGCGAAGATCAGCAGTTTGTGAAGTTCTTGTGTTTCAAGTGTTTGAAGCTTGTACAGTGGGGTTGACTGATCCGAGCATGCTGGCATCTCTCATGAGTGGTCAGCTTGAGTCAGAACGTGGGATCAACGACGAGCCCGTCCACCTTCATCGAAAACAGCAGGTCCGATGTGAGAGTGCGTTGTGACTGTGCATGGTTTGTTCAGGCTTGGGAGTGACTGCTTGCAGGTGGTTGGTTGCTTGGGTGGAACTTGACTGGATTTCGATTTCCTTTGGTTATCTTGAAAGTGGCTATTCTTGATTTGGTCTTCCTTTTGATTTTCTTGAAAAGTAGCCTTCCCCTTTCCTCCTCTGAAACTCTTGGCTCGAGTGGGACAACTCAAAGCGAATGGGCACGCGAATTGGGCTTGCCCGCACGAGTGTCCGAGAGCCTTTGAGTTGGGGGAGGGGGGGGTGTGGACCTTTGAGTGGGGGGCACGTTGTCCCCAAACGCCTGACATTGCACCGGGGATGCAGCTCTTGTGCAACATGCTTGGACTTGATGGAATTTTCTTGTGGGTATTTCATGTTCCTTTGTGCAGGGAAATTTGGTGATGCTTGAATTTGGTGCCGAACAATTTTCTTGACAGTGGCGAGGTGTGCTCGAGGCACTGCATGTGTCGTTGGCCCGCCCACCGCACCCTGAGGTCTTTGCTATGCGCTTGCGAGCTGGCCTGGATTCCTATTCGAAAGGATTGAATAATTAGGGTGAGGTCTCTAATATTCGATCCTTGGGATAATCGATTCAATTTGCTTGAACCTAAAGGAGTTTAAGTAACTTGCGATGTTTATCCCTTTGCGGGAGGGCCACAAACACGCCCTAGAGACCTTATATAGTGGGACACTAAGCAAATTTGTGCTCAAGTGTGAGCTCCAGAGAGACTTCAAGGATTGCCGATAAGGATTTAAGCGCTTGCGCATTCCCTCGCTCGGGCAATTGGAATGAAGGTTGGCCCACCCGCCACACCCTGCGGTCACGTGCTGCTAATCAGAGCAGTGCCGTGGCACCATGCGTAGTCCTGACACATTGCTTCGTGTTGTATGCCCAGTGCAAGGCCCTCCGCTTGGGGCAGTCAAGCAAAGCACGCCGCTCATCTGGCCAGCGTGCCTGCGTTACCATGTCGTGCGAGTAGAGTTGCGAAGATCAGCAGTTTGTGAAGTTCTTGTGTTTCAAGTGTTTGAAGCTTGTACAGTGGGGTTGACTGATCCGAGCATGCTGGCATCTCTCATGAGTGGTCAGCTTGAGTCAGAACGTGGGATCAACGACGAGCCCGTCCACCTTCATCGAAAACAGCAGGTCCGATGTGAGAGTCCGCTGTGACTGTGCATGGTTTGTTCAGGCTTGGGAGTGACTGCTTGCAGGTGGTTGGTTGCTTGGGTGGAACTTGACTGGATTTGGATTTCCTTTGGTTATCTTGAAAGTGGCTATTCTTGATTTGGTCTTCCTTTTGATTTTCTTGAAAAGTAGCCTTCCCCTTTCCTCCTCTGAAACTCTTGGCTGGAGTGGGACAACTCAAAGCGAATGGGCACCTAAACTTGAAACCATGATTTGGTCGAAAAGGCCTTCTAAACTTGAAACCATGATTTGGTCGAAAAAACCTTGTAAACTTGAAACCATGATTTGGTCGAAAAGACCTTCTAAGCTTGAAACTATGATTTGGTCGAAACGACCTTCTAAACGTGAAATCATGATTTGGTCGAAAGAACTTCTAAACTTGAAACCATGACTTGGTCGAAAAGGCCTTCTAAATCAGAAATCAAGATTTGGTCGAAAAGACCTTCTCAACTTGAAACCATGATTTGGTCGACAAGGCCTTGAAAAATTTGAAACCATGATTTGGTCGAAAAGACCTTCTAAACTTGAAGCCATGATTTGGTCGAAAAGGCCTTCCAAACTTGAAACAATGATTTGGTCGAGAAGACCTTCTCAACTTGAAACCATGATTTGGTCGAAAAGACCTTCTAAACTTGAAACCATGATTTGGTCGAAAAGGCCTTCTAAACTTCAAAACAATGATTTGGTCGAAAAGACCTTCAAAACTTGAAACCAGGATTTGGTCAAAAAGGCCTTCTAAGCTTGAAACCATGATTTGGTCGAAAAAGCCTTCTAAACTTGAAACCATGATTTGGTCGACAAGGCCTTCTATACTTGAAACCATGATTTGGTCAAAAAGACCGTCTAAACTTGAATCCATGATTTGGTCGAACGACCTTCTAAACTTGAAACCATGATTTGGTCGAAAAGGCCTTCTAAACTTGAAACGCCGACAAGGCCTTCTAAACTTGAAACCATGATTTGGTCGAAAAGGCCTTAAAACTTGAAACCCTGAGTTGGCCGAAAAAGCCTTCTAAACTTGAAACCATGATTTGGTCGCAAAGGCCTTCTAAACTTGAAACGTCGACCAAGATTTTGTCGAAAAGACCTTCTAAACTTGAAACCATGGCTTGGTCGAAAAGACCTTCTCAACTTGAAACCATGATTTGGTAGAAAAGGCCTTCTAAACTTGAAACCATGATTTGGTCGAAAAGAGCTTCTAAACTTGAAACCATGATTGGGCCGAAAAGACCTTCTCAACTTGATTTGCTCGAAAAGCAAGATTTGGTCGACAAGACCTTCCCAAATTGAAATCATGATTTGGTCGAAAAGGCGTTCTAACTTGAAACCATGATTTGTTCGAACCGGCCTTTCAAACTTGAAGCCATGATTTGGTCGAAAAGGTCTTCTAGACTTGAAACCATGATTCGGTCGAAAATTCCTTTTAAACTTGAAACCATGTTTGGCCGAAAAGACCTTCCAAACTTGAAAACATGACTTGGTCAAAAAGACCTTCTAAACTTGAAACCATGATTTGGTCGAAAAGGCCTTCTAAATTAGAAACCAACATTTGGTCGAAAAGGCCTTCCCAACTTGAAATCATG